GGATTGATCTCTGTCGGCCGGAGATCATTTTTAACAGCGGGGGGGATCTCCAACCACCACGAGGAGTTTAGAGAATCTTACAGCATACGGAAAATCTTGCAAAGCCTATACAAAAGATAGGGACCTCAAGGGACACTGAAGCAAATGGAAACTGGGAAACTGGAAGCACTCGTACAGTCTTTAACATCGCCCTGAGCAGGGCTATTTTTGGGCAGGGACGCACAGGAACAGAGTTCTGGCTGGCTCCTGAGTTGGCCACGCCCAGCAGGAACTCATTAGCATAATAGAACACACCCAACAGCAGGAACTCATTAGGATTGGCTACATTAGGGGTGTGGGGCCTAACATGCAAAGGAGTTCCTCCTACAAAAACAGCCCTGGGTTTTGCAACAAACAAGGTAAACAGAAGCAAAAGGTGGGTGTGGCTGGAGGACCACACTTCTGTTAACATGGGGGTGTGGCATAATATGCTAATGAGTTTCTGCTTTTGGGTGTGGCCTGTTAAGCTAAGGAGTTCCTGCTGGACTTTTTGTACCAAAAAAGCTCTGGCCCTGAGGCTGTGCAACATTTTCACTGCCAAATGTCAGTAAGGAAACTGGAAACACATAAACGGTCTTTAACATTACCCGGAGGAGGAGGAGGAGATTGGATTTATACACCACCCTTCACTCGGATTCTCAGGGCGGCTTACAATCTCCTTCCCTTCCCTCTCCCCGCAACAGACACCCTGTGAGGTAGGTGAGGGGCTGAGAGAGCTCTGAGAGAACTGCCCTTGAGAGAACAGCTCTGAGAGAACTGTGACTGACCCAAGGTCACCCAGTTGGCTGCATGCGGAAGAGTGGGGAATCAAACCCGGTTCTCCCAGATTAGAGTCCGCCGCTCATAACCACGACACCAAACTGGCTTTTTAAGAAAGACATCAAAAAGACGACAGAAATCAGATTGAGGATCATCTCCTTTAACACATATTTCTTGATCCCTGAGTATCTGTTTCTGTTATAAGAACATAAGAGAAGACAATGTTGGGTCAGGCCAAAGACCCATCCAGTCCAACACTCTGTATCACACAGTGGCCCAAAGATACCAGGTACCCTCAGGAGGTCCAGCAGTGGGGCCAGGACACTAGGAGCCCTCCCACTGTTTTCCCCCCACCTCAAGCACCACCTCCAAGCACCAAGAATACATATGGGGGAGAAGAATTAGGATTGTTTGGGTCAATCGGCAGCCGGGCAAAGCACACCAGGTCCAGGAAACATTTTTTTAAAAAGGATTGTTAAGGGAAATACACGCGGCAAGGGACAGAACAAACAAAAAGATAGCAGCTAGACAAAAACACTGTGTCGTAATAGGTGATTTTAACTACCCACACATTGATTGGGTCAATATGTGTTCTAGTCGAGAAAAAGAGATTGAGTTTCTAGACACTCTAAATGACTGTGCTATGGAGCAGATGGTCATGGAACCTACCAGGGGAGAGGCGATCCTTGATTTGGTCCTAAGTAACACTCAAGACCTGGTGAGAGATGTAAAAGTGATTGTACCGCTTGGGAACAGTGATCATAATGTTGTTGAGTTCAACTTTTGTATAAATAGGGAATTGGCCAAAATGACTGACACAACCACTTTTAACTTTAAAAGCGGTAACTTCTCTGATATGAGAGGACATGTGGGGAGGAAACTGAAAGAAAAAGTAGAAAGGGTCAAAACCATTGGGGAAGCTTGGAAACTATTTAAAACTACAATCTTAGAAGCGCAAAAAAATATATTCTGCAGGATAGGAAAG